GGGGCGGAGAGCAGGGGGGGCAGGGGCGCTGGCGGCCACCCGGCTTAGCCTCACCCACTCGGGCAGCGCCCAGCTGCCCCGGCCGACACCCTTCTTCCAGCCCAGGTAGGTGCCAACTGCTTTTGTCTCCTCCAGCCCGGGGGGCTTCCTAGGGCACGCTCTCAGAGGGGAGTCCAAGCTCAGTTTCTGTCAGTGCCCACCCGGTGCAACTTGGGAGGGACCGCGGTGGGAATACCTCACCAGCTGAGGGCAGTTGGACTTCTCACTCCTACCCTAGGGTGGCCGCTGGCCGCCCAGAGGTCTCCCTCCGCCCTGGCTGTGTGGGTGGCATCCTACAGGGCCCTGGCAGGCCAAGCCTGGCCCCAGCTGCATGTCCAGGAATTCAGGCACTGGCTGCTAGGGGTAACTGCCTGCAGAGGGGACAGCCCGCTCTGGGGCCTGTCCTGGGCCCCTGGCCCTTTGGTGGGACCAGTCCTGGGAAGCCCCTGGCTCAAATGGAGCCTGCTTCCTGGACTGGCAACTGCCAGATAGGAGGGGGCTGGGGAGAAGGGAGAAGAGAGTGAGTTTGGGCAAAGGCAGGTCTGCCCAGGAGCTGGGGCTCTGGGAGAAGAAAGGGAGGCAGGTCACATCCTAAAGTGTGTGTGTTTGGGCCTGGACTCATGGGAGGGGTGGGGGTGGAAAGGGGCTGAAGTTTCTTCTCCTCCCTTCCCCCCTCCCCAGTCTCATCTTTTCTTCTGATCCTTCCCCCACCCCCCATCCTGGCTGATGGGAGAGAAGGCTTTGCAGGAAGTTTGGCTGTCCACGATGGAAAGGGGCTGAGACTAGACTGGGTGGGCATGTGAGGGGAAGCGTGCTGCAGGCTCTACACAGAGAGGGGCATCCTTGTGCTCAGTACGCTGGGGTTCCCTCACCGGGCTGGGGCTGGGGGCCCCTGCCCTGCCAGTGTCCGGACAGGAAAGAAGCTTGTCATCTTCCGTAAGAGGGGCTCCCAGGAAGGGAGGAGACCGTGTCTGTGGAAAGAGGAGGGCCGGTGCTACCGAGGGCCTGGGACCTTCAGCCCAAGACCACCAGGGTGCCTGGATCCCAGGAGGAAAGCGATTGGTCACGTTGGTGTTGGTTTGTAGGTTTGAAATCCAAAGGCATCAAGAGCAATAGGGTATAAGTGTCCTTGGTCCCTACCCAAGAGAAGGGTGGGTTTTCCAGCCTCAAGGTCCCCACCCTCTGTCCACTTTTTCCTCTCCCCTTGCCCTCCTTCAGCCCCAAGCCCCCACCCCAGCCTGGCGGGAATCCTTTGCCTTCTTCTTAGAGCTAAGTGGGAGGAGGCCCCATGTAGAGATCTGACCTCATCTGAACCAAAGTTTCACCCTCTCTCTGCCCTCTTAGCCTCCTGCTCCCTGCCTCCCGGTTCCACCTGAGATCAAGGGCAGGCCACCTGTGGGAGAGACTGGCTGGCATGGCCATGGCTCCTGGGGGACAGTGGGAGCTAGCCTGGAGGTCAGCTACTGGCCAAATGAGAAGGGGCTCTGTCCTCAGAGCCAGCTGTGTCTGAGTCCTTCCCTGGGGACCCCTCCTCGATGAGTCCTTTGCAGGCAGAGTGCCACGGCACAGGCAGGAGTCAGCAACTGTGTGTCACAAGGTCAAAGGCATGCCCAGTTCGCATCGGATATTCCAGGAGTCCTCGGGCAGCAAGGGGGAGGCAGGAGACACAGGCAGGGAAGGGAAGCCTGAGCCAGTGCTATCAAAGTCACCCAAGGTCTGCCTGCCTCACACAGAAACCCCTGTCCTGCCCATGCCCAGAGTGGGCACCGAGGACAGCAGACACCAGAGTCTCACCATCAAGGAGATGGGGGCCTCAGACGCTGAGAGCCTACTGTCCACTCTAGTTGCTAAGTTTCTCCCCACCTGGCCAAGCCCTTCTACCCACCCCCATTCCTAGTCACTTGTTCCTCCACCTAGCCCACACCAGCCCTGCCAGCTCTCCCTCTCTCTCTCTGCACCTCCATGTCAGCCCCTTCTCTTTGAGAGTCAGCAGACAGGCCTCCAGGGACATGAGGCTCCAGGGACAGGACAGCTCATTGTCTCCAACTTGCCCCTCCAAGTGAGTGCAGAGAGCCAGACCTAAGGTATCCTGGCTAGATTTTAAGGCTTTAACATTTCTGAGGTGGTTTTGGAGGATGGCTAAGGAGCCCTGGTGGTGCTGTGGGGTAAGCAGGGGGCTGCTAGCCACAAGGTCAGCGGTTCGAACCTACCAAATGCTCTGAGAGAGGAGGAGGCTCTCTGCTCCCATAAAGATTGATCGACAGCCTTGGAAACTCCACGTGAGCTTGCTTTGAGTTGGAATTGACTCGATGCAGTGGATTTGTCAGATGCATGCCCTTTCCCTAGAAACTGCCTTTGAGCCATATGCCAAGGACAGTCTCCAATGTGTCTGTGTAATATTCATATGTTTTTTGGGGGGGAGGCTGTCAGGGTAGAGCCAGAGGGTTGGGGGAGTTCATAATTCACAAAGGAAAAGCAAGAGTAAAGGATATGCCAGTGAAGCAGGAAGAATTGAAGTTAGACTGCAGGAGGCACTTCCTGACCAAGAAGATGAACCACGAGGAGGCAGGACACTCTCCTTTCAGATGGCTTTAAGGGTCAGTGGAGAAGTAGGATCAAGCCCAAGGTTAGAGAAAGTTCTGCCCAAGGCAGAGGCTGGGCCGGTGATCCGTCTTCCAGTCTTGAGGGTAATTTCTTTCAAGTGACAGGTTGGTCAAGCCTCAAGACTCCATAAGAAGACAGGTGTCCATTCATGTCCCCTGCCTGCTGGCCCCCTCCCCTCCTTCAGCAGGGCTCCCCTTAACTTAGATGAAGCCCTTGGGCTGTTGCTAAATTAGAGTGTTTTTGCAGAAATTTCCATGGGCTCTGTGCCCTGCTGGTAGCACAATGAACTCATTTTGCCCATTTTCTAAAGAGGATACAAACAAAAGCAGGGGTGCTCTCACCCATAACCCCCAACCCCAGGGCACACTATAGCACCAGTGTTCCAAAATCCCCATCTCATTTAGAGGTAGGAGTGAGCCCCGCCCCCTCACACATGGCCCCCCTCCATCCAGAGCAAACCTGCCCAGTCTCCTCCAGCCCCAGCTGGCTTCATGGACCCCAAGCTCCCCCCACCCTGCTCTGGTGGAGAGCAGCACAGGTTGGGGGCCAGTCCACCAGGCATGGGCTGTGAACCAGCCTGCTGGAAGCTGTCTAGAGATTTGGGGGAGTCCCCTCCCAGCAGCAATAGGAACATCTGCTGATGCCCGTGGTACTTTCCTGGCTGCTTTGATTCTCCCTGGCCCAGTTGAAGAAGTGTTCTTACTCCTGGGGTCTCAACCAGGGACCCACCCTCCCAAAGCCCTCACCACACACTCACGCAGGGAGCAAGTAGGGAAGCTGCAGGGCTCTACTGTCGGTCGTGCAAGCTCACCAGCAGCTCCAATGGAGCAAGGCCTGGCCATCTGCTCCCCCAGCAAGGACGGCCGAGAAATCCCTGTGGGAGGATCTCTGCTGCACAGGTCACTAGGAATTGGAACTGACACAACAATGTCCCTTTTCTGGAGTGCCCTCCCAATACAATGTAAGGCTCTCTCTCCCCTCCAGCCTGCTCTCCACTTTGAAGGGTCCTTCCACTAGGGACAGGCAGGTCAGAGACCCAAGGCTGCAGGTTGTGGGGAGGCTGGCTCTCCCATGGCCAGTGCTGCACGTGCAGACAGCCCCCACGCCGTGAGCCCAGTGCTCCCTAGAGGGTGGGTCAGAGTCGGGGCGGGGGCTTCAGGGACCAGCTGCAAACACAAAGAGCCTGCAGAGAAAACGCAGGGGCAGCTGGGAGGGGCTGGGAAGGAGAGAGGACACAGACAGTGCCCAGGAGGGGCCTGGCTGCACAGACCCCTGTCCCCCACTGTGGACCAAGAAGGTCCCTATCCCACCCAAATATCCCTCAAGGTCCTCATCCAGTGCAGGGCCCAGTTCTATCCCAGAGGGTTAGAGCAGAGGGTTCTAGCCCAGCCCTGGCCCGTCCAGCACCCAGGTCCAGCCTAACCAACTCAGAGCCCTGCCTGCTCAGTCCTCGGAGCTGTCCAGGCCCCTCCTGGAAGACAGCGATCCCACCCCAGGGACAATCCTTTCCTTGTAAGGTCCCTGTTCCCTCTTAGATCACACAAGGCAAGAGGTGGGGGGCTTGGGAAGGGGTGTCGGCTTAGAAGAGACCATGTCCGGAGCGCCAGCATGTTAGCAAGGTGGCTGTTATCCTGCAGCTCTACTGGGGCCGGGCTGGGGGGCAGGGGGAGGTGTCCTGTGCCCTTGTCTGGGGTGGCCTGGGGGGCTTAAGTGTGTAGGAGAGCACTAGACACCTGTCCAGGGAGAGGGCACATCGCCCGATTGTGGACAGGTGGACCATGCTGTGTCGGGGGCGCTGTGTGAGTCCCGGGGAGCCCCGGCGCCACCAGAACCGGTCTTTACTGAGCTCTTTCCATCTTGCAACTTACGACCTCATGATCTTCCCATGGAGTGGGCACTCCCCTTCCCAGGCCCGTTTAGCAGACAGAGAGACTGAGGTTCACAGGAGCGAAGCAAGGAGCTTAAAGAACTCAGTCGTGCAGCCAGCAGCCCCCACACCACACACCCCGGCCAGCTGCTGTCGGCGGGACTCCAGCTCACGGTGTCCCTCTGTCACGGCAGGGTTGTGTGCTGCCAGCCGTCCAAAACCCCTCACCAAACTCTGCCCTCGAGTCGGTGCTGACTCCTAGCCCCCCTGCAGGACCGGGTAGAACTGCCCTCGTGGGTTTCTGAGACTGCCACTCTCTAGGGGCGTGGAAGGCCTCTTCTTTCTCCCAAGGAGCTGCTGGTGGTTTCCAACTGCTGACCCTAACCGCTATGCCAGCAGAGCTCCTGGGCCATAGGGCTGTCAGTGGTTGGTTTTCCAGAGGTGGCAGCCAGGCCTTGCTCTGAGCTGCCTTTGTGTGAACTCCACCTGGAAGGTTTCCCGTTAGACAGGTGGGCCGGTACGAGGGCCAGTGTTGACACTCTGTGCCAGCTGCCCACGGAGCACTGGGGGCTCGTGCCTGAGCCACAGGCAACTCTGGCGGCAGCACGACTGGTCGTTACTGAGCTCCTCCTGTGCGGTGACTGACCCCCTCATGGTGGCCCCACCACACGGTGGAGACCAGACTGAGGAGGGGGCTTATCCTAAACCGCTGGCTCTGTTCCCCTCCCTTTCGTGAACGCCTCCACCCAAAGCCACCCAATTCCTCAGTGTCCAAATTGCCATTTCCTAGTTGGCACAGAGGAGTGGGGGGATTGCCTCAGCTCCGTGAGCTGGAACCTAGAGAAGCAGTACTGGCCGAGGGCACAGGATGCATCGTGCACTTCTGACTGGCTCGGGGCAGGGGTCCTCGGCCCAGAAAAGCCTGCTGTGTGTTGGTGCCGCTTCACCACCACCCCCCAGCTGTCCCCAGGTCGGTCCTTTCTTTCCTGGGCCCAGAGGCCCAGCCAGCTCCCCCTGGTGACCCTGCACCCCAAGTGGCTAGTGTCCAAGTGCGGGTGCCCCCCAGGACAGGGCCTGAGGGCAACAGCCTGTGCTCGCCTGTGCCAGTCTCTGCCTGAACCCTGCACCAGGGCAGCTGGCTCAGGGCTGGCTCTGGCCTTGGCACAGGTCCACTGCAGCCCTGTGCCTGACAAGAAGGTCTGCCCCGTTCTGGAGGTTCTGGGATGTGACAGGGGCAGATGGTGTGGGGAGATGACGGGGCCGTGAACTCATGAGCAGGCCTCCAGGGAGCCCCCTGAAGGCCATGTCTTTATTACTGCCTGCCCGCGGTTAGCACGTGGCCTGGCACGCCATTGCTAGCTGGAAGCTGTCATGGGAATGGACACGGGCCGAGCAGGTGCCGGGGCCTCACTGCCAGGGAGGCAGCCAGCTCGCCTTTGACTTAGACTCTGTGTGTGTGTGTGTGTGTGTGTGTATCTGTGATGTATAATCACTCCTCATTGCTCTCTTGGCCCCTGCCTCCCCAAGTTTCCTTTGGGGCTGGGGGACCCCACAACTCTGGGGCTGGGGAGACAGTTGGCCAAAGTCCGGAATAAACTCAAGTTTAGGATGAACATGGGATTGATTTATCCATGACCTTATGACAACAGAGAGTGAATCTGACCACTGGGGATGAGGGTAAGTGATCAGGGTATAGGAAACAAGGTGTGTGTGTTGAGGGGGCGGGGGCAGATCTGGGCCCTCACACCCAGGACCAGAGCAGGGACACACAGAGAAGCACAAGGACACAAAGATGAGTCCACACCCACACAGGCATCTACACATCACACAGGACACACCCAGCATCGCACACATGCCCTGCCCTCGACAGCACTGCTGGCGGGCTGCAGCCGGCTCCCAGGGCCAGCGCTGGGTGCTTTGGGTCATTCTGGGTCAGTGCTGGAGCCGGGGGGCCTCCTGGGGCACGCTGCCCCCTCCAGGAACTCCCAGGACTGGCAGGTAGACAAAGGGTAGGACAGATGATGAGGGAGCACCTTGCCCGGGCCAGATTCATTGGCAGGGAGCTTCATTGGAGAGCCCAGCAGATGGGCTAAGCCAGCCTGCTCTGGTTGGCAGGGGGGAGGACTGGAGCTCCATCCTCACTCTCTCCTCTTCACCGTGGCCTCTGGGCAAGTCCAAACCACGTGGAGACTTCACAGCAGACGGTGTGGATGCCGCCGTGGGATGCCCCACCGTGGTCTCCCTGGTTCACCTTCAGAGCAACACCATGGGGTTTTCTCACCTCCCTTTTGCAGAGGAGAAAACTGAGTCTCCCCGAGGGGAAGGGACCACAGCTGTGTGAGTTGAGATGAGATCAGGGTTACTGACTTGTCTCTGTCAGAATCCAGAGCCCTTGATCACGCCCCATTAAGGGGTCGTTCCAGAGAGGCAGCTCCCTGTTCCGAGGGGACCGCCATGCATGTGTACAGTGGCAGGGGTCCGTGCTTGCGATACCAGAAACCCTGATGACCTGAGTGAGCGAGAGGGGGGTGTGCGAGGGCACGGAGGAGAGTGGCTGAGAGGGTCAGTGAGTGTGAGAATGTGAGCGTGCATGAGTGCATGGAGGTGTGTGAGTGTGTAGGAGTTGGTGTGCGAGTGTGTGCGTGAGTGCATGTGTGCGGATGTATAAGAATATGTGTGTGCACACACATGCACATGCGTACTCCTGTGTTCTTCATCGATTACATGCAACACACAGGTATTCCCTGTTACATGCCAGGCACTGTGCCAGGCATGGGGGTGCAAAGATGAACGAGGTCCGGTCTCAGCCCTCCGCAGGCCGGGTGGCGCGTGCTGGCATGGAGAGCAGAGGCAGGCAAGGGCACTGTGCCACAGGCACGCACTCGGAGGGGCTCAGGTGCCACCCGGCACACCCTGAAGCATGCGTGTGCTCCGAGTGAGGGGAGCTGTCTTCTGGCTTCAAGTCTGGAATTGGAAGTGGCAAGCCCAGGCAGGCGGGCACGTGCGCAGGGAGAGGTGGCGCCCCGGCGCCCTTCCTGATGGAGAGAAGTGGATGTGGGAGGAGAGGGGGGGGTGTGGAGAGGGAGGGGTGTGCCATCTGCTCACCCCCCACTCCGAACACCCACCCTCCTCGGCTCCTCTCACCTGCCCTGCTCACACCCTCCCTCCCTGACAGGCCCTGGGGCTACTTCTCCCCTCGCCTCCCGTGCCAGATGTGGCTGTTGAATATAAAGGCTGGAGGGGCGCGGGCTTCTCTTGGCGAGGGAGGGAGTCTGAAGTGAGGCCGGGTGGGCCCTGCGCCTGCATGGGCATTCAGACGCTGTCCTGCCCCGGGCAGTCTGATGTCCTCCACTCCTTTCCTTCTCCACCCTGGCGTGTCACCATGCCAGAGCAGACTTATGCTTGGAGAGTCCTCATGTCCCACCTGAGGGCACTGAGACCCCCCTCCCCCATGCGACATGGTTGCTCAGGTCTCTTGGCCACTCAGGGAAGTGCCCGCCCCCTCAGGAACCCCATCCCTGCAATTGCTGACACGGCTGTCAGTCCCTCCACCCCACATCTGACAGGAGAAATGTTCAGCCCTGTCCCATCTTCAGGTGGGAGTCCGAGACGGTGGCCCCCGTACTTTAAGTGCCTTCTGACCTGGGAAGGCTTATCCCAGTATGAGGTCAGGCAGTCTTCTGCCGGGAGCCAAAGCGTTTCCAGAAGAGGGTCACCAGGCCATGCTTCAAAATGGGGAAGTCCACTGAAACCTGTCCACCAGGAGGGACCCTGCTGGTATCTGAAATGCGGGCGGGCGGCACAGCTTCTGCATCCTGCTGGCACTCGATCCACTCCAGGAGGCCATGCAGGCAAACCCTTCTCCGGGGTTTCAGAAAGGGGCAGGCAGGTCACAAGGAAGTGACAAGCCAGTCAGAGTGCAGGATAGCACCAATGAACCATACCACTTTCCTCTAGTTCTTTAATGCTCCCCCTCCCCACAACCCACTCCCACTATCATGACCCCAGTTCGACCTTACAAATCCGGCTAGACCAGAGCATGTACACGGGTACATAGGAACTGGAAACACGGAATCCGGGACAGATAAACCCTCAGGACCAATAAAGAGAGTAGCCATACCAGGAGGGGGAGGGGAGGGTGTGGGGAGAAAGGGGGAACCGATCACAATGATCTACATATAACCCCCTCCCTGGGGGACGGACAACAGAAACGTGAGTGAAGGGAGACATTGGCCAGTGTAAAACATGAAAAATAATATTAATTTATGAATTATCAAGGGTGAGGAAGGGAGGGAATGAGGGTGGGTGGGGGGATGAGCTGATAGTAAGGGCTCAAGTAGAAAAATGTTTTGAGAATGATGATGGCAACATATGTGCAAATGTGCTTGACACCATGGATGGATTGTGATAGGAGTTGTCCGAGCCTCCAGTAAACTGATTTTAAAAAACAAGATGCAGCCGGGCAGAGAAGCTAGATTGCCAGCTGCCCTGTGGCTGCCCCAAGACGAGGCAAGTGGCCTGCGCCAGGACCCGAGACTCCTGCCCCTCCCAGAGCTCAGAAGTCAGCCTGGAGCGGGTTGTGGGGGCAAGGCTGGCCTCGAGGCCCCCACACCTCGCAACAGACAGCCCACTCCTCAGACAGATGGGACCGGGTACTTGGAAGCGCCCAAGCCACCAGGTCTCTGCTCATCTCCCAACAAAGGGGAGCTCCCCAGGGAGCCGGGGGCGGGGGGGGGGGGTGCGGCCTTAACTCATTCAGCCCAGAAGGCTTGCCTCGGCCCCAGTGGCCATCAGTCCACTGGTCAGGGGCCCCGTGGGGCCAAAGCCACAGCCCCACGCTGCCAAGTTTATGCGAGGGGGCTTTAGAAAGATCTTATGCGGGGATGGGATGAAGAGATCATGGGGTTGTCCCATGAACTTTCTAAAGCAGCCTGGGTGAGAGGATGTGGGGGGGACTAGTGAGAACCCTCATCGCTGCTAGAAAAACAAGGGTGACCCTGAGAGACTTTGTGCAGCTCCCCAAAGGCCTGTTCCCCCACCCCAGGCAGCGACAGGAAGGGGAAGCCCGCTAGTTCTCCCAGGCAGCGCCGGGTGGGGCTGGGGGCGCCAGACCCGGTCCTGCTTTGGGTGCCCTGCTCAGAGCTATTACCAGAGCCAGCAGCAGGTGTGTTCTCCGCTCACAATTATTGCCTGCTCTCGCTTCCTGAGCAGCACCCCGCTGGCTGGAGGGGGCAAAGCCAGACTCCCAGGGGGCCAGCAGGAGGCACTCAACCCCAGGAAAAGCATCTAGATAATAGCCAAGCCCCTTCCCCTGGGGTCTGGGGAGGAGGATTAGTGCAGGAGCGATCCGGCTACCCCCTCCCCTCCGCCCATCCCCTCCGCAGGCTCATACAAAAGCTCTGTTGGACCAGAGGCGCCTGGGGCTGTGCGGGGGAGCCTCCCTCAGACCCTCTGTCCTGCTGCCTCCCCAGGTCCTCCTCCACCGGGCTCCTGTCCTCCACTCCCCGCCTCTCCCTGGCTGCCCACCATGGAGACCCCTGCCCAGAGGAGGCCCCCACCGCCACCGCTGCTGCTGCTGGCTGCTGCCGCCCTTCTTGTCCCTGCAGGTAAGAGTGTCCCTGAGCAGAAGGCCAGCGGCCAGGCTGTGCCAGCCCAGCGTTGGGTGACAATGAGGCTGGGCAGTGCCTGACTGCAGGGCTGCAGCACCTCCACATGCCCCCGGTGTGTGTCTGTCTTTGAGGTTCGGGGAAGAGGGGGGAGCTGGCCCGATATTATAGGTGAGGTGAGAATGGCCCAGAGAGGGTGAGTGGCTTGTCCTGGGTCACACAGCCAGAACAGGCACAACCAGACCCAACGTAAACAACCTCGTTGCCCCTGAGCTGATTCCAGCTCCTGGTGGCCCGTGTAGCTGCCGGAAGATCGGCTCCGTGGGTTGTTCGTGGACTTTGTGGAAGAAGAGCGCCCAACCTTTCCTCTGCAGTGCCCTCGGAGCAGTACACACGGTCGAGTACCGAGTGTTTGGGCGGCCCAGCCGGAGCAGGAGCCTCTGTGACCCCACTGTCCAGCAAGGTAGCTCTGTAGCCACAGTGACACCAATCAGTCCCTGCCATTGAATGGATAAGGGCTCGCAGCAGCCCTACAGGACAGGGCAGAACTCCCCCGGTGGGTTTCCTAGACTGACTCTTCTGCGGAACAGAAATCCCCATCTGTCTCCTGAGAGGCAGCTGGTGGATTTGAACCGCTCACCTTGCAGGGAGCAGCCGGTGTATAACCAGGACTGCCACCACGCGGGCAGTACAATTCCCCTACAATGAGAACTGTTGTTCCTCAGGTGCAGTGCCACCTCTCAGTGGCCCACGGCCTACTGGGCAGTGTGGACAGGGCGTTCCCACCGCCACGGGATGTTCTCCTGAAACAAGCTTCTCCCGGGGCCCCTGGCTCAAGGGTACAGGGACGAGACTGCGGGACTCTGCCGGAGTTCCTCAGGGCCGCAGATTCAGACTGGGTTAAAAGGGACAGAGCAGGGGAGGCCCGGGCGAAGGCAGAGGGCACAGCCAAGAGTTTTACCCCAAGGACGGGAGGGGCAGGGCTGGCTAGCTGGCAGACAGGAGAGGTTGAGGTTGGAAGAAGCTGGTAACCAGGAGGCCCTGGCTAGCTGGACTCTGGAGACAGGGATCCCTGGCCAGCCTGGCCTATGACTGGAGGGAGGTCTCCAGCCCACCTTAAGATCTCTATGGAGAAGCAGGGCACCCTCCACAGTCCTTTTAGTGCAGCCGCTGCCTCCTTGCCCCAGCCAGCCGAGTTCAGGTTCTTGCCCCCCTCCCCAACCCCCCCAGGAGGGCCCACTGGTGCACTCTCAGACACTCCCTGCTGTCCTAAAAACCAGTTCTCTGAGGTACTCTGACTCCTGTTGATTGCACGTGTCAGCGTAGAACCGGGCTCCACTGTGCTTGCCAGAGGCTGGGTTTGGGGTGCTGGGACCCAGAGCTGCAGCCCCAGGTCAGGCTAACAGGAGCAAGGGGCACCTGCCTCGGGAGATGGATCCATGTGGTGGGGTTTCCAGGCCTGTTTCACTGAAGCTCTGGGGGCGGCTACCTACCTGCCTCTCAAATAATGTGGTTCCTGTACTAAGGGGCATGCTGAAGAACCCGGGCCTCTTCCCGGCCCTCTGGGGTGGTGTCTGTCTCCTGTTCCAGGTTGTCTGGGCTCAGAGGCCGCCAGGTCCCCAGGGAGCTGCTCCTCCCAGCCAGGTGGAAGCTGGGATGGGTGCCCTGGAGGCCGGGGGGTGGGGGTGGGGTGGGGGTGGGGGTGGGGGGTGGGGTCCCTCCCACCCTCTAGGGAAGACCTGTTTCCCAGCTGCCTCTTGACATAGGACAAGGCAGGAGTGCCTGGGTGCAGACAGTTATGGTGCTGAGCCTGGAGGGTGCCCACCCAGAGACACCTGGGGAGAAAAACCTGCTTCTGAAATCTATCTGCTTCCAAAAACTCGGCCCTGACGAATCTGTGGAGCCATTCCACTGGGCACACATGTGGGAAGCTGCCAGAGCTGCAGGACCTCGGCCACCACCAAGAGAGGCAGCCGCTGCTGCTGCCACCCCCCACCCCCCACCCCAGCCTCAACAGCCACTGCCCCTCAGACAACCTGCCAGGGATTGGTAAAACTGGGAGCCCTGGGCCTCGTTCCAATCTAATTCTGGTTCAGTGCCTTTTGGAGCCCTGATGACATAGTGGTTACTCTTTGGGCTACTAATCGCAAGGTCAGCAGTTCGAAGCCAGCAGCCCCCTCTGCAGGAGAAAGAGGAGGTTATCTATTCTGTAAAGAGTTGTGGCCTTGGAAACTCACGGGCCCGTTCTACCCTGTCCTATAGGGTCACCATGAGTGGGCATCGACTCAATGCCAGTGAGTTCGGCTTTGAGGCTGGAAGAGGCCCCGGTGATTCTGACAGAAAACTGAGGTCAAGAAGCACGTGTGTCAGGGTAGAACTGGGCTCTGCTGTGGCTAAGGACAAAGGATTCCCGGTGGCTCAGTAGCTTTGGCCCTGGGCTGCTGAGGTCATTGGTTCAAACCCGCCAGCCTCTCCTAGGGAGAACGATGAGGCTGCTTGCTCCAGGACAACTTCACCACCTCAGAAACCCACAGGAGCAATAGTGCGAAAGGGTCATCGCTGTGAATGGGACGCGAGCCCACGGCAGTGAATGTAGACTGGAGTTGCTGCTGTGGGTGCTAAGGGGTGAGACAGCCGGGGTTAGGGACCCAGGCCTGCTCCTCCTGGCTGTGTGGCATGGGACAAGTCCTTTCACCTGTTTAAAGTGCTGCTTCCACACTCATAAACCGAGAAAGGGCACCTCCCTTGTTAGTGTTCATGAAGCAGGGAGTGTGGTGCTTGACAGCCAGCCAGCCAGAGAGGCCTCTGGGAAAAAGATGAAGGCCGCTTCTGGGAAGTCACCCCGCCAGCCCTGGGACACAGTCCCATTCTGAGCCTGGGGGGTGTCCGAGTGCCCTGGGGGCAATGGGGCTATTTGAAGGGCTCTGGATCCCTCATTGATAGCACGCAAGGACATGTGGAGATGGAGCAATGGCTGCGGCATGGTTACATGTTGGGCTGCCAACCACAAGGTCAGCAGTTCGAAACCACCAGCTGCTCCTCGAGAGAAAGGAGGCTTTCTACTCCCATACAGAGTTACAGTCTCAGGACCCCCCAGGGGCAGTCCCACCCTGGTCTCTAGGGTTGCTGTGGGTCAGAACCGCAGGAAGTTTGGTTTGGTTTTGGTGCATGGGTTTAAAAACAAACTGGTGGCTCTGAGTTACGTGTTGGCTGCAAACCTTGAGGTCAGTGGTTCAACCCCCACAGCTGTTTTTCGGTCTCTTCTCAAAAAGAGT